GTTCTGTCGGATTTTTTATCCGTTTTTTGAGACTTTGGACACATTTGGATGCTTTTAGAAATCTACAGAACCTTTTTGAGGGGTTCTGCAAACCTCCTTTTTTTTTCAGAGTGGGTCTTCAAGTGACCATGCCTTCGTTTCTCAATGGGTGAAGAAGTGTAATTCCGATCTCTAAACATTAATTTAGGAAGGTCTTTTTTAGTTTTTCACTTTAGAAGCCAATAAAGCTTGACGCATTACAAACATACGATGGACAGTTGAAAGTCGAAATGGTGAGACTACATGATTCCTATAATTTACCATTATTTGCCGTTTCGAGCCAGGTCGGTTGAAGCAACGGAGAATCCTTCGACAGACGTGGCAGAATAGTATGATACCGTGTCTCGACGACATTTTTGAAAATAGTTGTTGCTCTAATCAACTGTTTTTCTCCACCAATCATTATAAATAAGCATGCTGATGCTATATGAGAAGATGAGGTGTCGAGTTTGATTGATAAACAAAAAATACTTAAAACTCATATCGAACGTGAGCATCTCGATACCAGACAAAATTGGATGAATATGGATGTGGCGATGTGTCTGTTTTCAAGTATGACAGAAGAACAATTACGGGATATAAAATTCGATAAGTTCCGACATATTATTTTCTCCATCAATTTTTTATTACTATAGCTAGCTGTCAAATACGAATGGCGAAATCTTATGTAAACGAACAGCTTACTTCATCATCTATATTTTCCGATCGAAAAGAATTCATCGTACAGGTTCGAAAAGATCAAAATGATCTTGTTCGCGTTCGTTTTTAGTCGCGCCATTCAAATAGTAGGTTTTATAATACCTATGTTGAATATAAAGAACAGGTTGAACAACCCGTTCAGTGTTCGTATTGCACCTGTCAGACTGGTGAGCGCATTGTTGGATGCTGTTCCCACGTGACTGTAGTCTTATGGTCTCTTTTCTACATCAGGGTGACACATCAACTTTCAAACAACACTGAAATAGATTTTTCGATTTTGTTCAAGATGCTTTACCGATCAGTGACTATGATACTTTGTCAGAAGAAGATAATACTTATTCATCATAAAAATAAGAAAAACAATAATATAAATTCGTTTGTCGAAGTATGGCGCTCGATGTCATTCATAGACTCACGAAAACAGAAGACTCTATTGAATATACATTACACATTTCACATATGTATGTTTTTGGCCCAAAAGATAATACAAATCAAATTACATTCTTATTCTTTTATTCTGAAAAATGTACCTTTTAAAGGGTGATATTATCGAGTTAGATTTGATGACAAAAGATTAAACGAATGAATAGTATATCACTATCAAATGATCAAAATTGATATTATGATAACAGTGTGGTCTGTTTTGAGATGTCTTTCCCCAACGTTTTTTTATCCATAATAGGAGGATTTTTTTGCTAATGTAAGGAGCTCTGAGTAGTAAAAAAATGATGATCTTTGATTTTACCGTTAGAGAGATCGAAGATCTACACTAAACGGGTCTATTAGTTGAAAGATGATTTTTTTGAGATTTCGAGGTCGTATTTGGGCTATAAAATCGAAACAACTAAAGCAAAAAACTTGATATTTAAAGCAGTATTGGAGGACCATATCACCTACTATTCGAAGTAAAAAAAAAAATCTTGCTTTCTCTTTCTCTCTCTATGAATAGGTATAGCATATCATATTGGTCATAAAATCGATTTATGCTAAAAAATCTCGAATATTGACACTTCTCAAACTTTTTATTTATCCGTGAAAAAAATAAAAATTTCCCTCACCAAAAATACTTATCTTAATGAGATCTTTCGCTTGATATAAGATAATAAGGAGTCTGGCGAAGAAGTCCCGGGAGCCGTTTTACGATCTTATAACCTTCCCTCCTTTGTTTTGTTTCGAATCGAAAAATAAAGAAATTAGTTGGAGAATCGACGTCTGTGGAGTAATATGAATTCAAATTTTTCACAGTGTGGATAGAACAAAGCTTTATAGACAATTGAATTTGCGACAAAATATTATATTCAGTTTTTAGCTTCTTGACACTAGAAGACGAATAGTTCGTTACATTCGAAAAACTAATTTAATTTTCTATTAACGTGGTTTTCCAAAGGTTCAATATTTGCTTGAAAATTTTGAAGTTAAAAGTAAAATACGTTAAAACTCACTAGTTTTAAAATTAACACCATCCTTGATTTTCTAAACTCTATAACTCGGACAAGTTAATGTAAGTCATAAATATCTAAAAGCTTTTTGCTCGTGTACTTTTAATTGTAGAATCCGAAAATAGAACGCAAATGTATATGTTAATTTTTTTTCGCGAGGCTGACGGAACACCACTGGATACGTTATCCATACTTTCATAAACTATTTTTAAAGAACGGAATGAAATTAAAAAATGTACAATAGTTTTTCGAGACTTCTTAGCTTAGAAGTCTCGAGTGGCACAAATTGATTTGATCTAACTAAGAGAATGCATAGTTATTTGAAGGTTGTTGCACACGCATGTTCTGCATTTTGTGCCGAATCTAACTAGAACTCATCATAATTTAACACTGTTTATTTTGGCGAAATTTTTATTTTCATCATCTTTTTTAAATAAATGATCATAGACAACAGTCACTTTAGATTTTATCACAAATTCAGTACATCATCTACTTGAGTTTTATCTTATTTGAATTTAGAAGGAGACAATTCAGGAATAAAATCATTTCCCATTATGTCACTAAGTATTCTCTCTCCAACGTACCATGAATATAATGCAAAATCAACTCTCTGATTAATTCCATAATCAAATCCTGGAAAATATAGGTTGTTTTTTGTGAATGATTTGCATCGACCATCGGTTATTGGTAAACATGCTTTTTCTGGTGGTAAATGACGATAACGATGATTACTTAAATATTGATTTGCATTATCTAAGAATTGTTCAAGTCCATGTGAAAATCCAGTGCATAAGATAATTCCATCGAATTCTTGAATTTCAAATCTATTTTCAAATATAACTCCTTCTTCAACAATTTCTCTAACAGTTCCTTTAACTTCAATCGACTTTTGTCGAAGTAAATCAAAGAAATGAGAATCATCAATAAACGTTTTCTTATGTAGAATTATAAAAGAAGCAGGCCTTAATAAAGGAATCGTCCAATTAACTTTATTATTAATATGATATATTTTTTCCGAAAATTGTTCATCGAATGTATTCAGTATTTCTTTGAATTTTTCATCTGCCATCGAATATCCCCAATATTGCAGAGATTTTTCAATTGTTTGATTCCATAGGTAAGGTGTCCAATCATGTTGTCTCATAAAGTACTGTCCACCACGATGTGCAATAGTGACATGAAATCCAGCATCTGTTAATTCAGTTGATATTTCTGCAGAGGAATGACCACCTCCAATTATAAGAATTTTTCTATGCTTTGAGATATCAAACGTAGAAGGGTTTTTGTAGTCAGCTGAATGAATTATCTTTCTTTTAAAACGATCCATAGATTTCATGATATTTTCTGGAATATGCGGAACTCGACAATAAGAAGTTGCAATACAAAGGTATTTACAAATGTAAGTTCTTTCAACATCTTCAATTAAGTTGATTCCAGTTACGCCTCATCCATAAAGGACGTCCAGGTCCTTAGAAGGAATTTGCTAAAACTAGAATATTTGAATTTGAACGAAATCTCTCGAGTGAGGCTATTAATTCTCTTTCAAACAGTATCGATGCTTTTCAAAATTCCTTAGACTTATTACCAGTTTTTTTTCTATTGGTCGTTTAACTCAATGAGATCATTGAAATTACCCAGTAGGAATAAACGAACCCTAGTAATATTGTGAAAAAAAAAATCCGAGCTACTAAGAAGAAGCGTTATAAAGAAATCGGAAATTTCACACACAAAGAAGATGGAAAAGAGAAGAAAAACTCAAAAGTTTTCAAACCATCCTTTATGTCTCAGACTTTACTCTCCAACAAAATTCTTCATCTTCTTGATTAGAAATTTGTGTTACTTTAAGTGTAAATATTACGTGATTTGATATTCCATAATGCTCTGCGTATTGCTGTAAATACATCGGTACTTCGGACTGCAAAAGAAAATGATCTTTATATTTCTCCAAAAGATGGTGAGGTGTTTTATATAATCTACTTAGATCGTGCATTCGTACAGAATCGTAAGTATGATATTTCCAAAATCCTCCAATACAGTCTGTTTGCTCCAGTAAAATATAATCATCAAAATTGTTGTATGCAAATGATCCAGCAACCCCAATTCCACTCCATCCTCCTCCAATAATTATAACCGATTTTTTAAATTCCATTTGTACTTTCGGAGGTCGCAACAGTAACTATTCGCAGAAATACCAACGACACAGAAATAGGAATGTTGCTTCTTTTGTGCTATAAATAGAAAGACATGCGTTATTATACATGATCTAACGGAAGAATGGAGTGCAGTATGAATATAAATTTTCTAGATCAAAAGTTTTAGGAATCTTTATTAGAACGATGTTCATTTGACTACATTGTTCGACTATAGTCAAGAAAGCAGCAAAACTAAAATTAGATGCATTTACAATCACTCTTATAAACTGAATTGCACAATTAATATTTTTTACTCTAATTACTTCTAGAAAGAAACAACGATCTGTTTAAGTGTTTCGGAGCTAAAGTGTTCAAGGTCATGTGCTGCCAAGTAAAAGAGGAAGAAGTAGGTAGATATTGCTGATTCTATGGTCATTATTGTCAACAGTAGTAATCAGTAAAGATTTAACAGTAGATGAAATTTAGTGATCTACCTACTTCTCCTATACTATTAGAATAGATAAGGTAGAACGAGTAGTAGTACTTTATATCATCTACTATTATTTAGTCGTTGTGTAATAACAAAGAACAAAATCACATGAGGAGTAATATTCTGAGTCATTGCTTACAAATGATGATGATGATGATCATGATGACGATGATAACATCATATTTTAGTATTCTCCGAATAGAGAAACAACATTCGTTAGGGAAGTGGAAGACGTGTTTGGTTGTGACGTTGTTTAACAACAGAACAGCACATTTCTTTCGATATTCCTTCTTCGTCATAGATGTCATACTCAGTGAGAAGAATATAACATTAAAGTTGTAGTAACTAGTTCGTTATTTAAGAGTCGTTGAAGTAAAGTCACGCCGGATCTTGGTCAAAATAAATATAAAAGTTCTATTTTAGTTCTTGCAAGCCGAGCGTGATAAGGCAGGAGTGTGGGTGTGGATAAGAATAACTACAACTGAATCTACACCCTCAAATACGATGTAAATGTGGTGAAAGTATAAAACTTAAAGAAGCAAAATGTAAAATTGATACTGAATGTTTAAATACTTAGGACTATCCAAAAGTAATGGCGAAAGTACATTAATTCCTTATAAAAAGCTTCAAGAAACTTTTTCTCTATGTGAACTGATAGTAAAAATGACGCTCTATTTTTCTTTGTTATTAATATCATTGTTCAAGTTAGTATCATAATAATAAAATTTCGGTAAGATCTATTTTTCTGTCATATGTGATGATTGTGGAATTCTAACTTAAAAATTTCCTAATACAAGAAAAACGTTCACAATGAGTCTCAATTTTATATTAACAACGTCAGATGATGATATTTTGTCGATTGCTGATTCATTACTTGATCGATTCTGAATTAAGATATTGCCGAGAATTGATCTCAATATTAAATCTCTTATTACTGAATTAGAATCTATCGTATTTAATTTTCTTGCTGCCGATTCTTCTAATCTAACTGAACTTAAACTGTTCAATTTCAATGATAAAATCATTTCACATGATTTTACCGGTAAGAAATTTCAGTACTGATCAAAGCACAGATTTCCATAGAAACGTTGCATACACTGCACAATATCTAATTATTTTTTATTTATTTAAATGCTTCACTAATTCATCATGTTTTTTAACAAAAAATGACTAATCTTATGATTGTATACAAAAGCAATATTAAAATTTTATTAGTGAGGCAATACGAAAAAGGTGTACAAGAATATTTTTCTTTTAAAATTTTTTGAATGTCTAAAACATTTGTTTACTACTGAATTCTTTTCACTTTTATCACTTCGTAATTTCCTTTTGACTACCTGTTTCTCTTCAACTTTTTACCAATCATGTATTAATATGAATCGTTTTGAAGCCTGTTTTGTTTAATTTAATGGTTGTCTCAAATAATTGGCTAGGTTCATTGTTAATATTTATTATGCAAATTATCATTCATCAATTGTTTACAATATGGTGAGTTTATATATAATTAATATGATTAGTTTTCTTCAAATTAAAAAGAAATAATATTGATGATAGTAATAATTATTTTTCATTTTATAATAGATTGTTTCCGTATGAATTACTATTCATTTGAATCAAGTAGATGTTCAGTATTTATAAAATCCCTGTTGATCTATTCGATGAACGAATACATGAAATTTTATGTATCTAATATTTTGTCGCGTATGATTTTATTTGAATAAATAAATCGAATAATTGAATTTCATTTTGGTAAGCACACTGATAACTTTTTGTGAGCATTATATTTATTCACACTGTTCTGCTTCTTAATTACTCAAAGACGATTCTTTAAAGTAGAAAACTCAAAATGTTTATCTTCAGATATTTTCAAGATATAGGTAGTTGTCAGAGAACTGGACAAAAGATCAAACTTACCTCTGTCAAACTTTTTCATCATAGCTATAAATAATCGTTGGTTAGCCTTTGCTTTATTTAGTCCTTTTAATCACTTTTGTTGTATTATAATAATAACAATAATATACTTGATGTAAAATTTTTGAGTTATATCATCAGTATTCAAATATCTCTTATGTGATGAAAGTTTAGAAAATCTCATTTAATCGTCTTAGATAGGATATGAGAAAGTAAGATGTGTTCTAAAGCTACCACTCTAGTAGTGCAAATTGTCATGTTCTTCCACTATCGTTTGTGTTTGATGATCTCGAATATATTGGCAACGCATTTCCACCTATTATTTCGTACGCAGGTTGCAAACTTAATGATCCACGATGTAGTTCAATTCCAACATAAATTTAAAGACAGTAATTATTACTCGATATGACGAGGTCATCTACTACGAAATCTGAACTAATTCTTACGAGCATGTTTTCAAAGATCGATATTCATTGATCGTTTAATCATTTCTATAATATATTATCTATTATCAACTGATCTTGAAGCTGTAATGCATAAGATTAAGTGTTAAAATATAGTGCCGACTAACGTTTATTGATGTTGTTATTTTCATTATAATATCATGGTCAGATTTCTTTTTAAGCCGAACATCTTAATTTTCACGCGCCCAAAGCCTTTGCTGTATGCATTTTTTCAATCATATTCATACTAAAGATCACGACATTCTAATCAAAATGAGAGGTCACCGCGTTTTCTACGCCTTTCTCTTGAACAGTCACAAGCTAAAACTCACACATATGGCAAAACTAATAAAAAACTCGCTTGTCAATGCCTTTTTCGAATGTAGGTATGCGCGTGGATGTGAATGGGATAAGTAGAGCTATACCTACAACCACAATCTCACTCTGGTTGCTAAACTTTCTTCCACCATTTCACTATCTTTGCATAGAATGACAACAATATGATATCTTGCCAACACCTGTCTTTCTTATCTTTATGCTTCTTGAAAACGTTGTGTAACAGTCAATAAAATAGAAAGCGCTTACTTCGATAAAGAAGACATGTATTTCTTTAAGTAAGACCACTGACAACGACTCAGAAGAATGAAACCATAATACACTGACTTTTCTTATGCTATGTTGTCCTATTGATTTTCTCTCTTTTTAAAACAATTTCATGAGAAAAATTCTGATAGATCTCTTTTGATCGAGATGATTGTGTCCGATAAAGTATCATTTTTATTGGTTGAGAATTTTCATTGAATTTCTATCTAGAACATTGTAACAAGATCGAATCGAAAGAAACTCGTGCATTTGGAATTATAACTATGCAAGAATTGATTCAATCGGCACAAGTCATCTTGCCATGTTCACCATTTGATGAAACATTAAAATTCTTCACCAATCGATTGGGTTTTCAACTTGATCTCATTTCTCCAGCCGATGATCCAGCAATCGCGGTACTTTCTGGATATGGACTCAATTTACGACTGGAACGCAATACTGGTGAAATGACGCAAGCGACTAGTACAATTCGTTTGCTCGTAAAAAATGATTCTGAACTATTTCAGAATGCCATCACAGAAATGTTTGCACCGAATGGCACCAGAATTCAAATAGTGAAAGAGACAACTGAATTGGTGATGCCACCCATCGAACAATCATTTGTTGTACGTAAAATGGCTATCGATGCAGCATGGGTCAAAGGACGTGCAGGAATGAATTATCGTGATTTGATTCCTGGTCGACAAGGCGGACGCTTTATCGCATCGCATATTCAAATTCCGACTGGAGGTCCAGTAGCTGACCATGTACATTATCATAAAATTCGATTTCAAATGATTTACGTCTATCGAGGTTGGGTACGACTCGTCTACGAAGATCAAGGACCTCCATTCGTTCTTCAAGCAGGAGACTGTGTTTTGCAACCTCCTCTAATTCGTCATCGAGTGTTAGAAAGCTCGGCCGGTCTTGAAGTGATTGAAGTCGTGTCTCCAGCAGCACATGACACTTACATTGATCATCACATGCAGCTACCGAATGGAGAGCAGCGGCCCGATCGCGATTATGGAGGGCAACGCTTCCTTAAATATCTTGCAGCAGATGAAACGGCTCGATGGCATCCGTGGCGTCTATCTGGCCTCGAATTCCGCGATACTGGAATCGGTTTGGCTACTGGAGATCTAGCTGGTGTTCGGATTGTTCGAAACAGCGGCGATCTGAAATCTCAAACTTTGCAACATAATGCTGAGTTTGTCTTTATATTTGTCCTTGCCGGCGAGCTTACACTAGATGTCACTGGTCATGGCTCTCAAAAGATGACAAGCGGAGATTCCTTCGTAATACCAGAAAAAATTTCATATAATATCAGCGAATGCTCAAAAAATCTACAATTTCTAGAAGTATCACTTCCTGGAACTGTTAATTTTGTTTGCGAATAAAAATGGAGCACCACTGAACAGAAAAAATATTAAGAGCGTGTGCGTGTTCTCTATACAATCATTATTGTTCAGATCACAGATAATCAACGTATTTAGATCATGATCAATCAATAAATACCAAGGCGAAATTGGATATTTTTTTATTTATACTACAGATATTTTTTGCTGTTAGGTGTGGCATGTCTGTGTCGCGATACCGGAGCAGATTTCAGCATTATTGTGGTCCACTGCTGATGTGAGTGTCGGCGAAGAGAAGACTCAGACAAGGACGCATACCCACACCCAAAATTTGCCATCAGTATAAACTTTGCTCTGTTGTTGAATTAATAGCGACAAAGACTTTGTAACACTATTCATATATTTTCCTGTGATGTTCAAAAGTTGTTTTCGAATATTATCAGCAACCTGACGAGTCTTCTCCATTGATTACTGTTCTTATTTTGTCAATTTGTTTCAGAAGAGGATAACGACAAAGTTTCGTAACGTATTCATTGAGACTTTGTTGTAGTTGATCATGAACGAGAAGAAGACACTCACATCCACATCCAATTACGTCATCGTATAGTAAATAGACACTAGTTGGCTAATTGGAAACAGTCTACATGTATGCTATACGAAGAACAAAATAAAATTCGATAGTTATGTTATACTATCATTATTAAATAATGCTAAAACGATTTAATTGTAGAATGTCAGTATTAATTCAACATAAATAGTTTGTCTACACCGAATTTACTTTTGTAGTTCTTCTGTAAAAATAACTTCTGTTATTTCGATAGCGTAACTCTTACTGTGTGAGTCTGGATCTACGTCTTTTCTTTATTCACACTCAAGCCTAAGAAAACTTATTTCAAAATCTAGTCACATGAATACCATTCATTTGTGTATGTTGAACAATAAAGAGATTGAATTGATATAAATGCTATTTTTCTTTTCAATAAGATTATCACAAGAAAATTAAATTCATAAATTTTTTTGTGTTAATAACATTACTCAATAAATGTTTTAGTCGAATCGGCTCTCAATTGAACAAATCTTAAAACGTATCAGTAGAACTCTTACTGTTGAAAAATTTTCAGTCCTATGATGAATCATCGTCTATTCTCTAACGAACATGATACCTTTTTTCCATGTGTGGCATGAAAATATTCAGTGACTTTAGATGATTAATAAATAGAAATCGATCGACTTTCTTCGATGATAAGGAGTTGTGCCCATGAGTCTTCTTCCATCAATCTTTATCTATGTTTCAATATTATCTTAGTATTATAAATAATTGCTTGATGAATTTCTGTTCGAATTCAGAGTCATGGAAGGACTTTGGGTATAGACTAAATATTCCTTGAGTCAAAATTTCGTGTTCTCAACAAACAATACTTACACTACTGCAACTCTTTGAAAAAAATGTTTTTCAAAATAAAAAAGAGTCGCATTTAGTTGATTTTACAAGATGATTGATCATATTGTTTTAAGGAAAAAATTAATTTTTATTTATGAAAAATCCAATAACATGGTTATTAAAAATTCATCAAAAAAAGGCAAATTGGAAATATTTTTATTTTAGTCTTCTTTCTTTTTTAATTGAAATGGTATAATCTTGATTTCTTTTGGCAAATCTTCGCTAATATTAGCGATAGATGAATCCAGATCAACATTGGTTGGACTTTCTGGATCATCCATTAAATATAATTCAAACATATTCATGTCATCTAATGAAATTACGAGTTTTTCTAAAGCTTCTTTCAAAATCGTCGATAGAAGTGTTTCATCTGTGGTTGAAATCCTTATGTTTTCTTCTTGATAGGTTATCATACATTTGATATTAGCAGTCGAAATCACTTTCAATTGTATATTATTGGTAGATTCACTGGCATCACTTAATAAATATTCTTCATCAACATTGCAATCATCGTCGAGAGTTAAACTATAAAATTGTTTGTTTAATTTCCATAATTGATAAACAATTTCATGAACACGACCAAAAGACATCGATGATTCACATTGAAATTGTAATGAACTCTTTTGTTCATCACTAATCACTGTTACATTCATTGGTAATTTTCGATCGATTAAATTAAATTCAATGATTGTAATCGTACTAGATAGAAATAAACTCAATGGTGTTTCACGTGATGGAACAAAACTACTATTATAGAGAAGATATTGATCTTGATCAATTATTTTATTTTGTTTATAAATATCGTTCATGACAGCATCGATAATATATCGTTGATTTTTCATATCGTCTTCAATAATTTCTATCAATGTTTCCACCGATTGTTTAACCCTTTGAGTCCGGGATTTTTTTTAAAAACTAAAAATATTTATAATTTCAAATCAATGTTTATTTTTGAAAATANAGAATAAGACAATGGTTCTTCTTACTCAACAAAGACGTCAGTTAGGAAAAGTGAGTAAGACGAAAAAGAGCATACGTGCACCAGATGAATAGAAAAAGAAAAGAACAAGAACATATGTATAACAGTTGGACAGAAGAGAAGAGAAGTGAAGCACTATGTAACAATAATCGCCAATCAGATTTCGTCTGTGATGGTAAATTAATTTTAAATCACATAATATCTCCGTACACGTGAGCTATCGCTGATTTACGGAAAGAAAAATTTTCAGAGTTTTTCGGAGTCGGAGTCGGAGTCATTCAGAAAAAAAATTTCGGAGTCGGAGTCGGAGTCGGAGTCAGTTGGAAAAAAAATTTCGGAGTCGGAGTCGGAGTCGGAGTCGGAGTCAAAAAAGTTTGACTCCGCAGGTCTCTACCATTAACATTAATTCAAAGTAAACATTCGCTTGCAATTGAAACACAATGAACAGTACTGCTGGTTTAAGGCATCCACTATGTGCTTTTGAAAATTCCATTTAAATTATGAATATACCATTTTAATGTTGTTTTTCTGGATTTGAATGAGAAAATCCATGCCTAAATTAGTCAACCATTTTTCTCAGAATGTGATTTTCGATAAGAATTATTGCAACTTCTCCCAATTGGTTCAAGATATAACGGATGTATTTTTTCGTCCATTTTAAAGTGCATATCGGAGACTGATGGGACACGGGACCAATCCTATCCCGTTCCAGGATGGGACAGGATACGGGACAAAAGGTCACGGGATGCGGGATAGGCGGAACTCAATGCTTCTTCCTCTTACTTTCATTAATGTAACAAACAACAAAAATAACCGTTCATGGTGTGCATTACAATAGCGATTGATTTTGTGTCACACAAGTAGAACAATGGTTATCAAAGAGGTCAGCTCTTGTGTGAACACACATTGAGACAGAAAAAGAACAATATTGACGGCCAATTTGAATTGAATGAGATAAATGATGACAAAAGAACAAGAAAATTATCATAATATAATTCGTCTAACATAGAAAATGGTATAAATAGTTAAGTATGCATACAATTGTTCATTCTGTTTCATTTTATCACAATTATTCATTTCGAAAGTTGCTCTTTTCAATTCTTATTTATAAATGAATTCTACGCCAAGTAAACTCGATGGTCGTAGCTATTCTTCACGCTCTCCTACTATTTCGTCTTCATCAAACATTACTCTCGTCTCTCCTACTTCAACACCATCAACAACTATTCGTACTTCAAGTCATACTCTATACGCTGTCTACTTTTGACGGAAACATGCCCGCAGGATTAGCCGGGGCGAGATTGAAGACATTTTAGCGGGATGCGGAACGGGACGGGAGACAGTCTCTGAACAAGTCCTGACAGGTCTTGCCGGGACAGTTTCTGATCGTCCTGTCAGTCTCTGGTTCATATTGCTCGTGAAGTCTTGTCCGATCTGATTTGTTATTGTTGAATTCTGTTAAAAAAATTGACTTCGGAATTAAGCATACTAGAAAAGTGAATTATATTCATTTTGTTTTAACTCGACACTCGTTCACACACAGAGACTGAATCATCAATGAGAGTGGAAGACACGCCTCTCTGATGAAGGCAAAGTGCATAAAGATTTCATAAAAATTTTTATTAAGAAGAAAAGTCGAAATAATAATTGTTTACAATGAATGAAGCAAAAAGGTTCTAGAAGAAAAGCGAGTAAATACTTGTCTAACATCAATACCATCTATTGTTGGTGTATTTCAAAACAGTTCACAATAAACTGTTTGCGAAATATCCCATTCGATTTCATCACAATCTCCATTAATAATACATATAGTTATTATGTGAAATAGTTGTTATCTTGATAATATGGATTGTATTTTTGACGTCGAATTCCATTTTCTTATAGAAAATATGAAATCTATTCTGCATTAAAACGAAAGCTCGTTCGACGGTGCACATGAGTCTGTGGTGTTGGCACTGAGTGTGAACTATGAACGTAGTCTAATTCTTTGCTCACATCAACAAGCTTCTACACCTAAATTCATATACAGATCCTCACGAGATCCAGCCGTTTTCAATGGTACGTGTTTGATCTGGGGATTTCTGATGTTGAGACACGACGCAGTACAATGATATGATTCCAGTAGATCTATCGGAGTCTTACAAATTTTGAAACCTCCTTTTATATCAGAGAGGTGCGATCAAGCTGTATTTCAACAGATCAAAAGATATGCGAGAAGATACGCACATGATCGTTAAAATAAGCGAGCGAAAAATAAATCAGACGTTTTCATCTAACCACTCTTTAGTTACGAATATCTTATGGTCAATAGAGGTCACTCTGTTACTGTTAATAATGTTTTCTTTCTGTTATTGTTTTTTTTCCTCAGATGTTTCTTTACTTTCTCTTTGACTCATACCGATTATATTGTTGTTCTCGAGCTGTTGTTATTGCTCACTTTTTTTGTTGATAACATGTATTCTTCTCTCATCCTGATTTGTTATTGTCATTGATGTTTTATTTTGCTAATAAAACTCCATACGATTATCATCAACATCAAACACTTATCACGACATTAACATACGGCAGGCATGTTTTTTCATGTGATTTATTCCGTTAACAGTAGAGTTCTGCAGGATAAACCTTTTATGTGTCCCGATGCTGAATGTCCCGTACAAAAATTTCCGAGAGAGTGCTAACACTATTTTTCAGGACTATTCCAAATGATTCTGGCTTCAAAATAGTTCTCCATATTATTTTGATACCTTTTTATGTCATTTATTTACAAACTGAGGCTTTTGTGGAAAAATAAAGAATTTAAAGTGTACATATTTGATATAGAGACTAATAGAATTCGGGATTTCGATTATCCTGCAGAACTCTACTTAGTAGACTGAGGTATGACTGTAGTTTTCACTTAGATCAGACTTTAGTAAGGATAAGAGTACTTAGCAATTAGATTGAATGAGAATTTCATAGGAGACCGACCAGAACCGGAGGATGTGGGTGAGTGTGGGTAAGATATGAAAGACATTAGAAGAAGCCAAACAAACATCCATACATACACTCTATGATCATTTGAATATACTAACCTTTTTCTCGTGAATTGTTGTTTCTTCTCAAGAGTTATTGTAACGCCCCTTCTTCAAAGCCTTCTTTATGTGAAAAACGATTGGTAATGAGTATTCAGATGTATAGCGAGAAATGGAAATTTCCCACTTGCGTGTCCCCACACACGTATAGTGGCAGACAGAGACTAGGCCTCGTCCTAACGAGTGTCATAAATCTATCGTGTTTCGCAGTTTAGACTCGAAAGAAATACGTTGAAGGGTATTTGACAAGGATTATATACGCTAAGGTTCGAATATCTTATGAGAAGACGGTCATTTATTACCGCCTTTTCGGCATATTCTACTGATCATGAAAAATATAGATTAAAATTCATCTTGAAATTCCTTCATTTAATTTCATCGGCTACTCTCGGTCATATGCAATACTAGAAATGCAAAAGCTTCAATGCGCTTCGAGTGACTTTGTACCTCGTGCAATGCTGTTGTTTCAAAGTTTCAATTGTTCTTCACTGGCACTAATTACCTATATTGTTAATCGATATCGGTTGACTGTTTGATCTGCTTCGCACAACTGATCTCTGACTTATCTATGTAATATTCAACTGGCACTATGTTGTGTCTAGAAAAGCCTCACATACATATTTCATCGATGATACATACTAGTGAGTGGTGCAACTCACTAGATTTCTACATGTCTATCGATGGAAACTGTTCAGTCGTTGAGACCTCACTTTTTAACATGAATATTATAGTTGCAATTTCATCTCCCAAGTTGACAGAGTCAGACTGAACACGTAACTGAAATTTTTCGCACGTGTTTTTAGATCATCACATCTGTCAAGTTTGCGACTATGAATGCTACTTGGAGGGCGAATGTATCTTTAATTGGCCTACCTGTTGAATTGATCTAGCGCATATTTGATTATTGCGATATTCACACTATTCTTCGTTCGATTCGTTGGATCTGCCGAGAAAAATGCATGGTATTTTCAATACTTATGATCGATATGAGCTCATTTTGAACTCACAATCGGTCTATACGATGATGGCACTTATTTGTTTTATTCGACGTGAGAGTGCCATTTCATTAACGGTATCTGATTACTGTTGTAGGGCTGAGTCGATTAGTCAACTTACATTGCTGCTTAGCTACTATCGATTTACTCGACTACGTTCGCTGAGTCTTCATGGAATACGAGATAGAGCTTTGAAGCAAATGTTACAAAATTTGAGCGCCGACTCTTTGGTCTCCTTAACGATAGAATCGAGCGAACCCAAGAATAGCACAGCGTGGACTCTGATCGTATCCGTATTCAGTCGATGCAATCTTCAAAAACTATGCTTGAGTAATGCGCCGTACCCAACAGATTTAGTATGGCCACTCTTATGCAGACTAGAGCACCTCACAATCGATAGGTGCACTTACAGCGACTATCTATCCATTCTTTGTCAGTCAGTTCATTTACGAACTCTCATCATGGAAGACTGCATTGTAAATAATACAGATAATGTGCTGGTTTCATCCGCTTCATTTATGCTTCATCATTCACTGAAGTCTTTGATCATCACGGCCTGCTCATTTCCTACACAAGGTTTCGAGTTGCTACTTACATCAACGCCTTCACTTCGCCATCTCAAACTTACTTCTGCGAGGCAAACATTTGACTCTATGTTTGATGCCTTCTATTGGGAACAACTCTTATATAGTAAACAGCCACAACTAGATAAACTTGAATTCTTCTTCTCATATCGATATTGCGGAAGAGAACATTTCACCAGTCTCGACTCACTCATCATTCCATTTCGAACTCAAATCTGGGTTTATGTCAAGCATTGGTTTGTTACCTGTACATACGTTCCAAGCTCACGTGAGATCCGACTTCATACAACACCTGGCAACATCATTCACAGTGAGAAATTACTCAGATGTGAAGTGTCGTGGATTGACAATGCATGTCGTTTAATTCGAAGATCACTGGATACCACGGTTGATAACACTTTAGACGAGGTACGTGACAAAATCTGTTTCAAATCACAACTGAACATTCTATTATGTAATATATGTTACCTAACAGAATTAAAGCGGATGGGACCATTTTTCTATCTTCAACATCTTTGTTTTTTTTTGAATGAACATCACCCCAGTAACAATAGTCGATTACATAGCATGAGATTTACTTCACAACGTCTGTAAATCAGTTTTTTTTGAGTCACGCCCTCAACAAAATCTTAACCATCATTGAAGGAAATCAAAAGACGTTGTGGAACAAATCGTTGCGATATTATTTGGGAGCCGGCACTGCATTATTTAAAAATCTAAAGTCTGAAATATTTTCCGAGCAGATAAATGACTTCATGCGGTCTCATGACTTATAGTCTTGATACACTAGTATGTGTACGAGTACCAACCCGTCAAGTACCAGTACGACTTATTCGTGAATTTTGTACAGCTCTGGATTGTATCGTGTGCTATTGCAGCATTTGTCTGACTCCGCTACTGAACTTTTGCAGAATCTCATCAAAGATAGAAAACGATCATGATGAACTCTGTATAATAACTGATCGAGATCCTACTATCTTTAAAAAAACAACTGTCATCAGGAATTATTTGAGGTTTTAGCGAAGATGCTGAACATTGAAAAGTTTTATTTGGTTATCACTAAACTACCAACGGTTCTAGATAACGGGTTTTGATGTATCGGTGACAGTGAAGAAAATAGTCGCATAAGCACGCACACTCACACCCTTTCTTCTCATTTTATTCACCATACCATAAAACTAATTGTATTTTTTTATACAGACACTCCCTACGCTCAATCTTTACAGCAATAAAATTGGAGATCTCGGAGCGCAACATCTCTCTGATGCATTAAAAAATGATATGGTAGCCTTCTTTCTCTATCTACATCTCTCTCATGTGCCTATTTATACTTTTTCATACAGATACTCACCACACTAAATCTTTCGATCAATCTAATTAAAGCTCTCGGAGTACAACATCTAGCTCATGCATTACAACATAACGCAGTAATTCTCATTATCTCTTCATCATTCATGTCTCCATCTACACGTTCTCACGCAGACACTCACCAAACTTGATCTCTATAACAACGATATCGGAGCTCTTGGAGCGCAACATCTTGCAGATGCGTTACGAAGTAACAAGGTGACCTTCATTTTCTATTTCTCTTTTTCAATTTCTCATTTGCACTCTGCTACACAGACACTAACTATCCTAAGTCTCAAAGGTAACCTAATCGGAGATCTCGGAGCGCAACATCTCGCTGCTGCATTACAAATCAATACAGTGATCATCATTGTCTCTTCATCACTTATGCCCCTATCTACAATATTTCACATAGACACTCTTCACACTATATCTCAACGAAAATCAAATCAGAGATCTTGGAGCACAACATCTGGTCGATGCATTACGAAATAATACAGTGATTTTCATTGTTTCTTTATCGCTCTCATGTCTCCATCTTCACTTTTTCATACAGACACTCACTACTCTAAGTCTCAGAAGCAACCTAATTGAAGTTCTTGGAGCACAACATCTGGCTCGTGCATTACGAAATAACATAGTGATTCTCATTGTCTTTTCATCTCTCTCAGGTATCCATCTTCATTTTTTCACGCAGACACTGACCAAGCTAGACCTCTACAACAACCAAATCGGAGAGGAGCGTAAACGTTGTTTGGAGAAATTGATTCAGCGGAATCAAAGATTGAAAAATCATGAAGATTGCTTTCGAAAAGGGCGTGGAACAGAACCGGAACATCCTTTTGAATGTGTGGCTAACTTTCTTTTTCGCCTTATTGTTTGCAAACAACGATAAAGTCTCTTCTTTTTGAATTTGCAGGACTTGATAATTAAGATATCACGTTAGCTTTTTCATTGCGAAAGGATCAACACATAAGAGTGACTTTGTTTTTGAGTGTTCCTACCTGTACTATTTCAGTGAAAAGAGACAGTGTAAATTCTAACTGTCTATGATTATTTCATATGGTTGAACGTGTATTGAACGCATTTCTGCTCACGTATAATAAATTGGAATTCTTGTTTCAAGATCTGACGCTAATTTCCAACCTTGTGAGTAATGATACTTGAGTATGAGATGTTTAAAGAGTGGCAAAATTTGTCATTTTTGGTAAAAAGAGTCTGATTTTAAACGTTCAGTAATTCTAACGGTCAACTGAAAATATTCATGGAGGGTATGACTTTAATTATTTTTCCGGTCGGAAGTATATGAGATTTTGTTGCGTCAGCTGGCATGTTAAATGTTAGAATGATTCATGAAATAAATACGTAGTGTTTCTATGAGAAGAAGTTGTGTTAAAGCTTTTTGATGTTTGGGGGGCAGGATTTAGAGAGCTGTAATAACGATGAAATACTCAGAACTGGTGAAAGAATTGTATTTATCTTGTGGGTGGGTGTGGATGTGAGTATGTAGGAGTAGGTCTTCCACTTACTCATATCTATCCACACCCAATGATCAACATTGTTATGATCTATTTCGTCAACATGTTCGTGTGTATACTTACCAACAAAAGTTAACGAGATTTGAATCGAGTAGATAAGGTATAGGAGAACACTATTGATCGTCATTAAACTCACAACCCAATCCAATCAAACTACTAGTAAAGAACAATCTCGATCAAACAATCGAATCATAAAACAATAACAAAACTAACCATCATCTGATATCATCATATATATCAAAATATGTTTTTTAACCATCTCTCTGTAATTTTATTAAAATAAAGCGATCTTTGTTTACAACTTCATTACCCATGATCAAGTTAATCGCATTTTTCTTCTTTTCAAATACATAATTTTATCTTCTATACACATACAATCAACGCTCTTGTCAAGAAAACTATGTACTGATGAGACAAATTCAATGAAATGAAATATATATAGATAAGTAAAAAGATGAATTACTTGTCATGGTACACTATTCTTATCCTGACACCCTCGTAGTTCAGTAATTTTCAGTGTTGAATATATTATATTTTTGTAAGCAGGGATAAACCAATTCTTACGAATTTCTTGAATTTCTAATCGAAAATTAGAATATATTCAGTTGTGAGAATTACTGGACTACGAGCAACTCTTCATGCTGGTTTTGATTAGTTTTGAAATCCCTTTCTGAACATGTTCTTAGGTCTGGTCTAATGCAAAATACAGAATATTAAAGTTAGTTGGAACTGGTGAAAAAAATAAAAGATGCGAAATTTTGATAAATTTTAGGTCAATTCTGAAACCTTTGTTTTACATCTCATGAGTTTTAACTCCAGCTTTAGATAGAGCGAAAAACTTGATCATAGTTGATGTAGACTATCAAAACATAATTACACTTTTAATAGGTAAAAAATGTCATCTTTGAAATCTTAGCCTAAGAACTAATGCATCCCTACCTAATATGAAAATGCTGATTAATCGTTTCATCAAAAAGAATATTTAATCTTTGAAAATAATTTAATTTTGAATATGAATATTTATAATATTCGATTGCCTATAACCAGCATACAATTAAAAGCAGCAGTTACTTGTTTACTGCATTGTATTTTATTAAACAAAAATGTCAGATTAACAGGTGTTTCACAGTGATAAATTCTTTTATGTTAATAAAAGACAAAAATAAAAATAAAAATAAAATACAAATAGAAAATCTTTATTTAATGTCGAGTATAAATAAAATATTACTCTTAGTCGACGAGAATATCTTTTGTTTTATCAAATGATGCTATACCTGGATGTTTCAAAGATAATGTTTGACCGGCTATTTCTTTTGCACGTTCTAAATATTTTTTTGCTTCATCCTTATTTCCTTGAGATGCATGAACAATCGCTAAATTATGTAATGTTCGAGCTTTATCTGCATGATCAGGTGGTAAGAATGCTTCTTGTAATTTTAATGCCAATTCATATTCTTGAAGAGCAGTTTCATAATTTCCAGTTGCTAAATGAACATTACCTAAATTAACTCTTTGTAATGCTCGATTTGGATGACTTGGTGAAAGACAAATATCATAAATTTTCATTGCTTCTTGATATTTACTCAATGCTTGTTCAAACTAAATTAAAACATGTAATAAAAAACAAAATACTTTTTATAAACAAATTTTCTTACATTTTGTCGATCACAATCAATAGTACCTAAATTAATTAACGTTCCAGCAACGTCAACATGTTTTCTTGGAATACTTTTTTTGTATAATTCCATAGCCCGCAGAAAACATTCTTCAGCTTTTATTTGTCGTCTCAGTTCACTATAAACAACTCCAAGACCATTTACAGCTTTCCCAGCACTGGCTAAACGTTTTGGTCGACTATTTATATGTAATTCATATGCACGATTATAACAGCATATTGCACGATTAAAATCACCTCTTAATCGATGTGTACGACCAAGATTAAAATATATACAAGAAATTTCTTCATCATTTGGATTTGAAGAATTAAGAATTGTATCAAAATAGTGTTCAGCTTTAGCATATTCTCCCATTTCAAGAAGTAAATTACCGAAGATGAACTTTGTATTTGATTCAGACATCTTCTTTTTTTGATATTCGACATATTCAGTATCTTTATCGGTTGCATGAAGTTTAATATGCCATAGATCTTCTGCAACATTGTATTCACATGAATCGATTTGAAATAATGCTCCTATAGAGAAAATATCAAGAAATGTGACGCAACAGTGAGGATGAATGTTGCTTATATTGTGTTTTGCTGCAGTCAATAACAAACTATCCAATAATTCAAGCGAGGGTTTAGTCAGATATTGTACAATAGGGAGACGGACTATGCACAAATAGTCAACTCAACCATTGCTTTCGTATATATCCCTCTTCGACTATTTCTTGGTTAAGTCATATACTCATCGGCTTCATGAATTTTTGAACCTGATCTGATTAATTAAACTTTTACTCGGACTAAAATTTTGTAGTCCAAATTCTAGTCACCCTTGAAAGATATTCGAGTAAAACGAACGAAAACTTGAAGAAATTCAAAACTATTAATCGTTACATCAAATATTTCTTCCAAACATGATTAATTTCTAAACAAGTACAAAAAACAAACTTAATATTCAGATATTCTCAATTAATTTCGATTGATTGATAAATAGAAATGCTTTTTATTTTCTCTTACCGAAATCGACGATACATTCGGCTTCTTCAGGAAATGCTGAATATTCTCGAACATCAGCGACAACAATTTCATGAACAACATTTAAATCCACTAAATATTCGAATAAAGCGCGAACAAAACCTTCTGATTTAGCAGATTTTGTTGCAAAACCATAAGCAACTGAACGTTCACTACTTGTTGATAAATAACTACTATTTGATATTGAATTTCCAATACTATTTTGATAATTAGCCACTTCGTCTTGACTTAATTTTGCACCACGATAAAGTTTTAAAACATCTTTTTGTTTTTCTTTAAGTTCTTTAAATTTTAATTCAAGTTGTTCACTTAAATCCATAATATAAAAACGAATTTGATACATCAGATCAACATCTTGCTTTCGAAGAGTTTTATTAATAAATCTAAAAAATTCCAATGTTTTTTTTTGTAGTTGTTGTTGCTTTTCTTTTCATCATTAACTTACCGGTAAACAAATGTTTCTTTCATGTACCATAGTATAGCATCATATGATTTATATGTCCGATCAAATTCATCGATATTTGCTAATTCAGTAAAATTTCCCCGATAATAGTTTCGACATATTGTTATCATTGTTTTTTTCGCTTCATATGTTTTTGGTATATTTTTTAAGATATGTTTAGTTAATTGAAAAAATAAAAATGAACCCTGTTCTTTTGAAAGATCATATATTGCTTTTTCTTTTTTATTGAACATACTAAATACAGCTGTTTGTTTAGCAAGTTCTTCATGAGATTTGTTTATTGAATCTCGAAGTGTAGTTTCATTTTCACACCAATTAAGTATATAATTATGTTGTTTTTGACTGATTGTAGTAAGGGCATACGATGATGGAGAATAAACAAATACAGAATCAATCTGAATTAGTGATTCAATTGCTTCAATGAGAGTTGTTGATGGTGCATCATCAATTATTAAAAATACTTTATTTGTTGTAGATTTTATATGTTCTACGCATTTGGTTTCATCAATAAAAGTCTGAAAATAGATTCGAGTATGCAAAAATCAATCTTTTGTACAAACTTACTTGAACATCTTTATGCAATACACTGATAATATCGATCACATTTTGACTTGGTGTTGCTGATGCAAAATAAACTAATTTTGTTCCATCCTGATAAGTCACGTCTTCGCTATCATAACCTGTTGTTATTGTTTCTTCTTCTTCTCGTTGTCTCTCATCATCATTATCATCATCCAAATCTTCTGTTGTATGGTTTGATCTGATTTTTTTAACATGTCGTTTAAACCATTTTAAAAGCGGCATGTTGAATAAGAATATGACTTTAAAATTAATGTTGATAATTTGTGTCGATTACTTTATTGATATGCTCGATTGATCACAATAATTGTGAAAAGAGAAAAAAACCTTACTTTTCTACGAAATATAATGAATAATATTTCATTATGTTTGACTAATTGCAGAAGAATATCAATCAATTTTTTTCTTGACGCAAGTCGCGTCATTTTTCGAATGTAGACAAGTTTTCGATCAAAATATTTACTAATTTATCAATACATGATTAATTGATTGAAACTATGTTATATGTGAGACAGATATTCAATGTTGTTTTCTTGTTTAATTTATAGATGAGAAAGATTAGAGAATATATTTTGTTCGAAATTGATATTATTCTGTTTTTTATAATTTTAAATCAATATTAACACAAAAAAACAAATCTATCAAATTCTAAGATAAATCTTAACCAATTAGTTTATTTATTTCTCACACTACATTTCGATCTCTGTTGGAAATACCTTTTCTTTTAATACTGTCTTGTTTGTACTCTACTTACCATATTAGTGATACGTAGACATGCACTTTTGAAATGTGACTCATGAAAAAAACAACTTTTAACGAAGTGCTTATTTTCTCCATATCGAATTGTGTCATCTAGCAAAAAAAAACTCCTTGCCATTTAATTATTATGTAAATGGACTCAATATTGACCAAATATGAAACATTATCGTTAAAATATTCGTACAAAGGTTGTGTTTTCAATTGGAGATTTTCCATTGATTAGTGTTTAATGTGCTCTTTACTATCGTTTCATATTAGAAAGTTATTTGGAAACTTTGGAGTTTCAATGAATCAGATAAACATAACGACTGGAAAATCGTCTGACAAAGAGAAATACTAAAGATAGAATATCCTCTGTTATCTATAGTATTAATCATCAAAACAAGGGAATAACACAAGATTCATATTAAAGCATGCGAACTCGAGAATCAATGAGATAATTCATAGCATAACTCTATTATTGATTGCTTATGGCACAAGTAATGCTCGTTGACACGACTCACTTGACCCCCGACTAAATTTGATCTAAATCTAACCATCGTCTCTCATAGTTTGCTGAGTTTTACTTTGAGAGCTGATCCTGAACACATGCGCGCATATGAAAAAAAAACTACTTATGCTATAGACAGACACGACCACCTTGTGAAAATATCGAACCTTTCGTTTTTTTTGTTGAGATTTTCTTAAACAAACCCTAACAAACAACTCTCAGTCGGGGTGAGGTGTAGGTGTGAATCAATGTCCGCATCATCTCATCGCCGACACTCACACCTATACTGCTAAAAATTTATTCTGAATAAAAACTATGAAAGTGATTCTTCATTCATAGAAAACATGTAAAAGACTAAAAATCTTGATTGTTCGTTCATTAATGAGATATAATACTGGTAAATCATATAATTTTTAGAAGCTATAAACATATTTAAATCAACTCGAAACTCCGAAAAAATAGACTCCATCATCATAAAATGGTCAAAACGGTTCAATGATAAATCGATATGTATTTTAATGGTCAGTTTCCCATTATTCTTTTGACGAAGTAGGTAGTATTCGATTCTCAAAATAAAACACAAAGAAAGGAGATAAAAACTGTCTATGCTGCTAAAAGTGAAGTGTTTTTCCATTCCCGATAGTTAAAATAATGTTGCACAAATACAACGTTATTAGCAAACTTGCAAAATTTACCGGCATGTGCGAACTTGTAGTTAGGCAAAATAGTTCGAGGGTGTGGGTGTGTAATATTGGTGAAACTATTCTCTTCATCAACATCCACATCTCGAGATCAATTCTTGCGTTTATCTAAATTTGCAAGTATCTGACATTTTTCAACATTTCATATCCAACAGATTTAAGAATAAAAGCTTCTACAAAATTGTCGAATTTTATTTTGAAGAAAAATAGGCGTCCTGAATTTTCATATAATCGAAAATAAATGTAAAAACAACGCAAAAGAAATGAGAATCGGCTGACAGTCTGTGCACTCGGTAAAATAAATTTCAACATTTATCACCTTGACAATGACTTCCTGTATCTTCAGTTTTTGACTCCAAGACTTTCGTCATCACTATCAGATTAGTCTTCTCTTCTTTCTTGTTCCTTTGTTTCTCAAATACATTTTGACAACAGAATGGAGAAATTTATCATGCACATCAATGAGTAATCATCCATTTTTCTTTCCATTTCTACTAGAAACTTTCGCAATAACCATTCGTTGTGAAATTACAATGTCAAAGATAATATAAGTAGCCGATTTTCATCTTTTTCATTTTTTATTTTTATCATGGCTACTACGTTGATGAAAATAAGCATGCATACACTCTATGATGATTTAATGAGTCTTTGTTCTCAGGATGATGCTTTCTATTACAAAGACATTCGCTTACATGCAATAAATTATCGTATATTCAATTATCGTCTTTGCTCTTATGGAAGATTCAAAACTTGTACAGCAGCTTTGAATTGTTGTGGAACAATGTTCAACATTACGAATCCGAAAAATGTACAGCTTGTTTCTTTACCACCAGAGAAAATTTTCGATTATGAAGAAGGCTTTGGTCAAAAACAATATCATGAACTTGGTCGATTAGGAGATAAAATGGAGAAAATGGATGGAACATTGATATCAACATTTTTACATGGAAGAACTTCGAAAGAACAAGTCCTTCGAATTAAATCAAAACAATCTTTAACATCAAATCAAGTTCTGGAAGCAACGCAATTACTCGTGGGTATGTGATTCGATACATTGATCATCGTAAATTTTTAAAAGGTGAGAGAGAGCAGTCTCAGTCTATGCAAGCATGAACGAATCACTCTTTATCCGCTTGAAGCATTTTTGTTCTCGATCAATGAAAAGTTACCAGATGCGGAAGTTTTAGTGACTAAATAGCTCGGAATGCTTTATATTCTGCTATAGCTTTATTAAGTTTGAAGATTTTCAATAGATTCTGTAATTAAAATAAAAGATCGTGATGGAATCATATTGTTTTGAGGATATAACTTGGTCCTTTCAAAGAAAAAATCTCTCGACACGTTGACAGACCTATCTAATACATAGTAAGAAGTATTCTATGAATGTTTTCCTTGCTTTATACACATAAGAGCAAGAGAGGTTTGGAAATGTTAGTCATGGTCAATCGAATTCTTATCAGGAAAAGATGCTCTAGTGACAAGAACAAAAATGAAAAAGAAAGAACGAGATTAAAGATTCATTAGACGTATGTATGATGAATTCTTCTTTTTCATAGTAATAGAACAAAGATAATGATTGCTAAGAGAATCAAAATATAATTTATTTGTATTTTATATATTAGTTGATTTTTTTAAAGATGACTTCAAATCCGAACTCGAAAAATTGGTTCGTCTCAACTATACCGTCAATATGGAATATACATCGCCTTCCAATCATGTTTTCGTTTCCTATATAGAACCTCAACTCACTGTTCTATCCATTCGATCACATGCCGATGGTCACACTTTGTTCGGTACTCGATTGAAAAGATTTCTTCTTGAAAATCATCTCTCTACAATTCTTGATCACCTCGTCTTCTTTGAATCTATCCCACCCGATGTAACGCATAAACAATTACTTCAAGATATCTATCAACAACCTTATGGCGAAGGCTATGTTGTTGAAATTATCCAACCTGATCGACCATCTTATCTTGTCAAAACCAAAACAAAAAAATATTTTATGGTTCATGGAGATGGTGGAAGCGTGAATTCTCCAAGATCATTATTCGAAGCTATTATTAACGAGAATGCCGATGATTTGAAAGCTTTGTTTCAAGATGATACAGAAACATTAAAGAGAATCGACGAAATGGAACAAAACATAAGACCAATATACAATCGAATGATTGAATCGATTGAACAATTTCATCAGACGAACAAACATTTGCCGAAAAGAGATTTCGTTCAATCAATCAAGATGACAGAAAATATGAAGATTTATTTACCACTGTTGATAAGATTGTATGATGGCGAGAAAAATGATTATAAATGTTTCGCACTGAAACATGCAAAAGATCTGTTTGGCATTGGCGGCACTGGAAACCAACCGACAACAAAAGTGAATCAAGACAAGTTAGAATGAGAAAATCAGATTCATTTAGCGATGTCATTGACTCACGGAAAACAAATTGTATAATGCAGCGGTGAAACACGTTATTTTTCAGCGCATGTTTCCGCTAGACTTTAGCGTAGTTTTTAGAACTTTTTGGCGCGCGTCTTTTTATTGATAGAAACGGATATATAATGACTAAAAACGCGTTTCCTAAAACGCATTTAAATGGTATTTTATTACTAATAGACAGTGTATTTGAACGATTCACTCTGAATCATTCTGCAGTTATCATATTTATGGTAGATTTTAGAGAAATTATAGATATTTTTACTTAATATGCTTGTATCTACTGGTTGAGAAGTTTCCAATAATTATATTTGTAGTTTCTCTCTCTCACTCACGTTTTTCACAAATTCATAAAATCATGGCACTTCCGATGATGATATGGGCACAACATATATGTGTTAGAAATTCATTGATAAAAACTTAAATCTGAAAGAAGTAAATAGGATGGATTTTATATTGAGTTAAAATCATGAAATAAAATCGAATCCAATTTTGATAACATTTTAGGTCCTTAGGCAAAGTTGTGTAGTAGTTTTTACTTCTCTATGCGATGGAATAGGTTCAAATAAGAATAAAAGAAGTAACGTATAATTAGAAAAAATGAACGAAGGAGATATAATGGTTAGAATAAAATAAGCGGAACGATATAATTGGAAAAAAACAATAGAACTTACAGTTATAAAAAAATGAAGTAAGAAGATGTGATGATTAAAGTACAATAAACAAATAATGCAATGGAATCGAACTAAACCAAGGTTTCTCAGTGAAAAGAGAAGATGGAAACATATATCGCGAAGTGAAAAGTATGCTTGTGTCTCAATAGGACTATAGACAGGGCCTGTGGTTTCGGTTTACGAATAAGTGGCATTACTAAGACACAGTTCTCAGAGTACTGGCTTACACTGCATTGATGTCACTCTCACTGGGACTAAAACGCACACCCTCCTACTTCCATTTAGTGTGAAATCAGAATGACTATGTAGAATATATTAAAATTCAAAATTTACCTGATGATGAATGAATTGAATCACATTTGAAATGTATCGTATGCTCCATTGTTTTCCCTTATGTAACAAACGCACTCTCATATTCTTCTTCTTTCTAAGGTGTATTGTTAGAATTCGGCATAGATCTTGGTATTTTCTTATGATTATCGAATCATTCCGAACAGATACGAAATAGCCAAAACTATCTGATCAGTATCTTAGCCGACATAACTACATCCAAATCCAATCAAACGAACTTAAAACACCTGATGAGACTCATAGCTAAGCGAAAACGCATCAATCTAATTACCTTTACTGAAATTCTGTAAAAATATAATTCTATATAACTGCGATGTTCACCATTATAAGTGGAGCGTGTCATTTCAAACAAAAAAGAACGTTTCTGTTTCAAGATATGAGGAGTCACGTTTGGTGATTTCGTCAGAGATTCAAATGAGGACTTTGTACGAGCTCTAGTCTTTCGATTATTGAGGCAAAGAAAAATCGTACATATTGGATAGATATTCAATAAACTGTAACTAACAGCATCGATGATAAACGAGCTGAAGACTTTGCAACTTGCGTATTGCAGTATCAGCGACTCATACTCATATTAACTGTGAACAATGAGCTTACACAATATGCAATTTTGGCAGAGGAAAATTTAGAAAAAGTGAATATCACAAACAAGATTGCTTACAGAATGGTACTGTTTTTATTTGAAAGGAAAAATAAAGTACTTGACTTTCATATGATCGGTAAACAACGTGAAAATGATCTACATGAAATGAGAATCAGTTAGCACTTTTTTCGCTTGATAAAATAAATTTCAACATTTATCACCTTGAAAATTACTTCTTCCATCGTCAGTTTTGTGATCTCAAGACTTTCATCATCATCAGATTAGTCTTCTCTTCTTCCTTTTTCTTTTTTTTTCTCTAATGCATTTTGACAACAGAATGACGAAGGTTACCATGTACATAAATGAGTAATCATCCATTCTCCTTTCCATTTCTACTAGAAACTTTCGCAATAACCATTCGTTGTGAAATTACAATGTCAAAGATAATATAAGTAACAGATTTTCATCTTTTTATCATGACTACTACATCGACAACAATAAACATGGAGACACTCTATGATGAGTTAATGAATCTTTGTTCTCAGGATGATACTTTCTATTACAAAGACATTCGTTTATATTCAATCCAATATCGTATATTCAATTATCGTATCTGTTCTTATGCAACATTTCAGTCTCGTACAGCAACCTTGAATTGTCGTGGAACGATGTTCAATATAACGAATCCGAAAAATGTACAACTTGTTTCTTTACCACTAGAGAAATTTTTTAATTACGAAGAAGGTTTTGGTCAAAAGCAATATCATGAACGTGGTCGATTAGGAGATAAAATGGAAAAAATGGATGGAACATTGATATCAACATTTTTACATGGAAGAACTTCGAAAGAACTACGACTTAAATCAAAACAATCACTAACATCAAAGCAAGTTATAGAAGCGATGCAACTACTAGTTGGTATGTAAATTGATAATTTCTTTAGGCATGAACTTCTTTTCAGTGTTTAAATCATATTCATCGTCATAAGTTTTGGAAGATGTGCGTGAAAGCAGTCTTGGTCCATTCAAGCGTGAACGAATCACATTTTTCCTCTTGAAGAAATTTATCTCGATACAATTAAAGCCGCTAGCTTCGAAGAATTTTTCAGACTACTTAGATCGAAATGGCTTACATTCTACCAAAATTTCATTAAGTATGAAACTTTTGTCTAGATTCTGCAGATGAAATAATAAGTCCTGGAATAATCACCAAAAATGGAGCATGACTTTGAATGGTGTGTATAAACGAATGTGAATCTGAGAATACTTTATTGTGACGGAATCGCGTTATTATCTGAAAAACTTCATCCTTTCATGAAAACAATTTCTATGGTTATATTGACAGATCGACCTAGTACAAAGATAAAAGTATACTATGATTTTTTTCCAGCTGATAGATAGTTCTGATTCTCAGAGACATACCGAAACAACGAGGGGACTCAGAGGTCTTCAGTTCTCCGCTTAGAACGTTTCTGTGTACATAGCTGCTCATTCTCGAACAAAAGTACAAGTTGAACACAAGACAGTGTTTCTTTCTCTACGTTATACAAACGAATAGAATATGGTGCATTCTTCTTTTCTACAGTACATGAGCAAAGACGAGGAAAGAATCAGTGCGACAAAAAGTGTACAAGAACACAGCGAGAACAATCGCTAAGAGAGTCAAAACATAATTTATCTTCATTTTATATCTTGGTTAATTTTTTTAAGATGACTTCAAATCCGAACTCGAAAAATTGGTTCGTTTCAATTATACAGTCGATATGGAATATACATCGCCTTCCAATCATGTTTTCGTTTCTTATACACAACCTCAACTCACTGTTCTATCCATTCGATCACATGCCGACGGTCACACTTTGTTTGGTACTCGATTGAAAAGATTTCTTCTTGAAAATAATTTCTCTACAATTCTTGATCACCTCGTCTCCTTTGAATCCATTCCACCCGATGTAACACATAAACAATTACTTCAAGATATTTATCAACAACCTTATGGCGAAGGCTATGTTGTTGAAATTATCCAACCTGATCGACCATCCTATCTTGTTAAAATCAAAACACAAAAATATCTTATGGTTCATCGCGATGGTGAAGACGCGAATTCTTCAAGATCATTGTTCGAAGCTATCATTAACGAGAATGCCGATGATTTGAAAGCTTTGTTTCAAGATGATACAGAAACATTAAAGAGAATCGACGAAATGGAACAAAACATAAGACCAATATACAATCGAATGATTGAATCGATTGAACAATTTCATCAGACGAACAAACATTTGTCGAAAAGAGATTTCGTTCGATCAATCAAGATGACAGAAAATATGAAGATTTATTTACCACTGTTGATGAGATTGTATGATGGCGAGGAAAATGATTATAAAGGCTTTGCAATGAAGCATTCAAAAGTTCTATTCGGCATTTATGGTGATGGAAACCAATCAACAACAGTGAACTAACAGGAATTAGAATGAGAAAATTGAATTAAGGCTGTGGATTGACATGACTCCCGACTGTAATATACGGCTTTGATTTACTGAGACTTGATGTCATCGAAGAATGGTCTACTAAGCAGTGACCTAGCAGCTTCTTCAATTTTAATTGCAATTATCAGCGAAAACTAGAGGAGTAAGTCGATAGACTCATCCACCAATATTATCAAATCGAACTATATATATATATGACTAAATAATAAAACCAACATCACTGAAACATTTTGTTACTAGCTTTATTCGTACTACATCAGTAACGTTTTCAGTATAGGATCTTTCTATTAAATATCCATGTTATTTCGTTATTCTACGCATTGTACCATAACTCTTTTTTTTTGATGAAGCGTGCAGAAGAAGTACAAAGCGGGCTGTGGATGAGAAAGAAGCACTGAGTGTGAATTTCTAGCTTCATCGACTTGTACACCGATACCCACACCCTCATTACATAATCTATAGTTAATGAACAATGGTGTCGTAAACTCAAGAATTGAGAAGATTCTCTACCCATAATGTAGTTATTTTCAAATATTAATTTCATAATTCATTAGTTGAAACAATAATAGAAAAAAATATATGTATAAATATGAATGATTGAAAAACAATACTGGATATGATCAAATTTCAACGAATTCTGAACCTAAGCAACCAAAAATGTTTTCAATCAAGGACGCACCAGTGTTAGCATCTATATCAAATAGAAGAGCGGTATTATTTTGATTATCTTCATTATCACTATCATCACTCAATAATTTGATCATCTAAGATTTTGATTTTTCTTCGCATTTGCAGCCTAGGAGAATGAAAAATATGATAATAGATAACATTCTATAAAAACAAATGATGTATCTCGTCTGTGTAGTGCCCT